GCGCGCGGCTGGGGGGTTCAGCGGGGGGTTTCCGCGCGCGCTGCTGAGGGGTCTGGTCGGGGGTTCCGCGTGGTCGGGGTCCGGTTGGTCAGGGGTTGCGCGCGCGGAGGAGGTTTCATACATGCATGCGGTCGGAGGGGGTCCACCAAGAGCAATAGCAGGTGCCACGTATGTTTAAGAACCGTTGCTTCTGCAAGCAACAAAGAAAAAAAATTTAAGAACCCTTGCTGCCACGTATGCCTGCTCCAACGGGAAGTTCTTGTAAGCACCGTTGCTTACAAGTAAGACACGCATTAAGCACCTCCCGCTAGAGGTGCTCTAAAAGATATAATAGTTTATAAAAATAGAAAAATAAAACAAAAAGGTTTTTTAATTGCTTTTTTTATTATTACAACTGACTATCACGTGTTACAATCAACTTTTAATTAATATTGCTTTTTATAATTAATTTTTTTTACAATTTTAAAACCACCAATACTTGTTAAAAAATAATTATAGGAATTTTAAAATAATTGGTATCTGCTAAAGTAATAAGTGTGGTGATTTAAAACTATTGATACAAGTAGAAAAATTTTAAAAATAATTTTGACGATTTTTTTTTACTGACAGAACATAAATGAGCTAATAAATATGCTATTTCTTACTCTCACTACGAGTCACACAACTTCTTTGCTATTTTCAGTTCCACCTGCTTTAGAGGGAAAATAAAAAAAGTTAAAAAAAGAGAGTATATTTTTCTATTTCTTACCTACCAATAATAATAATATTTTTATTTTTCACTTACTTTTTTTTTATATTATTCCTCGTTTCGAGCAAACAAACACAACTAAGCAGCGAAATGCTGTAAAATTTGTAATTTTTTTTTAATAAATTTCATTCATTTTATCCATCATAATTAAATTTGCAATCAAGATATTTATAACAATTTACACATCATATTTATTTAATTGAACTAGACTTCTTCTAAGTAGAAGTAGTAGAAGAGTTAGGACTCCTAAAAATAATATATAATCACAATACTTTAAAAATACTTTTAATTAATATAATTTATAATAAATTTGTTTTCAATATTTTAAATTGAAAATTAATTATTTAAAATTTAAGCTAGCGTGTTCTAATTCTTTAAGAGAACTTACAAAACCGCTAATGTCTAATATAGGTAAATTAAATAAATTATATAATAATAGTTAAATTTAATTGAAAGATTAAAGAATTTATGTAAAAATATTGAATAAAAAATAAGTTTTATATGATATGTTTAGGAATAAGAATATGTCTGACTTTAAATAGGAATTTATAATCTAACCTTTTTAAAGTTTGACATGACTTGATGTGTTTTATAGAAAAGTCAAGTTTAGACTTTTAAAAATGTCTATTTATATAGGAAAAAAGGATAAGATTTAGGTTTATAGAAAAGTTTGTTAGATCAAATAAATCAATTAATTTATTTATATTATATAAAAAATTAATATATATTATTAAAATATAAATAAATGATTAAAATTATTAAACAAAAATAAATTATCAATATTTAAAATATTTTTTATACAATTATTTTTTTCATTATAGATTTATAAGTTTATGACATGTACATGAATGTACATTAACATATATGATTATACATAAATTGTTTCTTCAATAAAAAATATTCAATTTTTCTCCTATATTTCGTTTAAAATTTTAATTTTAATAATCTTAAGTAAATTATATTTTAAAAATAATTTTATTAATTTTTAATAATTAAATTTATTAACCTAATTAACATTTATAATTTAAATAGATTAATAAGTCAAACTAGACTTGTAAAAAAATTTATTATAAATAATAAATCAAACTTAAATCTTAATTTTTCAAAGCTTAACATATATATTCAAAGTCTGACTTATCCGGCCCATTGTGGTTCGGATACCGGGTGGTTATAAAAAAAAAAAAAAAAAAAGTCTGACTTATCTTTTCCTAACCTATTCTCATCCGTACATATGTTCTATAATTTTAAAAATCAAACTACTAATTAGTTTGATTAAGAATCAATCTTACGTGAATTCATTATCTCAACAAAATTATAGCTTTTAAAAATAAATACTGACCATCAAACCTATAAAAATAGATTTAAATCATTAATAAATCAGTTTAACAAAACTATGAATAAGGTACTATTAAAAAATTAATTTTATTTTTAAAATTTAATTTAATATTTGAATTTTTAGAAAAGTTTAATAGTTTTAAAGATAAACCATTTTTTATTCTATATATAAAACTGTATTTTAATGGATTTTTTTAATTAAAATTTAAATTAGTTTTATGATATATTTATTTTAAACTTTTACACGTATATAAATTGATGATTTATTTAATCTTTTTTTTAATGTTATAGATATAAAATAATATTATAAAATTAAGATATTATATTTATTAAACATGTTTTTTACTAAATAGTTATTAGTTTAGTAATATCAGTTGAACCATTAACCAATCAAAATAAATCATTAAATTTTAAATTAATTTTTGGTGAAATAATTTTGAAAAAAAATAATATTATTTGGATAATATAACTAAAATAAGTTTTTTAATATTATAATAATTAAAAAATAATTTTAAATTTAAGGTATAAAAAATAATGAATAATTTTTTTCTTAACACTATTATTATTCAACTTCAACCTATTGGACCAGAAATCAACGGTGGTCGAGAGATAATCGTAGAAAAAAAATTATATGCATTAAAAATAAAATAACACATACAATATAAAACTAAACCTATATATTTATATTCATACAAAAATGAGATTATTACAATTAACAAAAGAAGTTCAAGATTTTTTAGGGGACGAAGAACTAAGCAGTTTGAACTTTCAAGAGCCAACACAGGGTTGAGAAACGGGTCAGAATCGGACCGGGTTGACCCGAAGTGCTATTCAAATCTATTCTAATCACTTAGTGGTCAACCCCAAGAGAATAGCGTCCGACATGGCACCCACGTTGGGTATCAAAACGTCGTCGTCTTCGTTTTCAGACTGTGCATCGGGGACTGTTCCCAATTCCGGTTCATGTTCGCCGGCAGCGACTCCTGCCTCATTTTCTGGCGTACCGGACCTAAACGACGTCGGAGAAAGCGCAGAAGTAGAAGAACACGCAGCGTTTTCTTCTTTGGAGCAAGACCCGGTTTCGTTGGTTTCGGGTAAACGGGTGGAGGATGGCTTGGAGCGAGTGCTTCCGGCGAGGGAGTTCCGGTGAACAGGTTTTGCATGCTTGTGATCGCCGGTGTAGGTAACGATGAACGTGTTCGGTTCTGTGGTGCTTCTCTCCACTTGCTTTCTCGCGGCGCATCCTTTGCAGCTACTGCATCTGTAGTAGTTCCTATAAAAAGTAACGGTTTTTAGACTCTTCATGATGAGAGTGAAATTAAATCAGAACCTAACGTTGTGGATGTGTGACTGTGATGGGTGACAATAGAGGATGTTTATGTGGTTGGTTACATATTTTGTTACCTTGGATATGGAGAGCCTTTTATGGGTTTCTGACCATATTTTCGCCATGCCCATAAGTCTGCTGAGAGGTTGTCTGCGGTTACATGACATACCATTTTCTTCTGTTGGTTTTTTCTGTAGAAAAAACAAATGAAATTTATTATGGGGTTATTTGTATGGGGAAAAAGTTTGAGTTTTTAATTTTTTTTTAATGGGATGAGATTGATTAAAGTTTGCATGTTGATGAGAATTGAAGTGATTTACCTTTTTCTTGGTCTGGGTGCCTGGGGTTGTGACTGTGTGTTTGGTGAAAGGATGGGACTTGTTTGTGGTGCTTGAAAGGTTTTTTGTTGCTCTGGAATTTGGGTTTGCGTTTGTGGCTGCTGTTGGTGGTGGTGGAATATGTCAAAACCAGTAGTGGAGGGTGCTCCAATGGAAGTGTAATTTGTGGGAGCAGGAACTAGATGATGGTGGTGGTGACTTTGCTGTGTCTGCTGTTGTCCAATGAATCCCGCAACGTCAGAAAAAGTGGAATTGGGATTGATGCCAAGGGCACTAGTGATAGTGCTAGTGCTACTAATGGTGTTTGTGGTGGTGGTGGGGTTGAAGTTCATCAACAATTGGTGAAGCTCTTGGAACTCATTGGTTCTTTGTTGCACAAGATTGGGAAAAGAGAATGAGCCACTTTCATGGTTAACCATGAAAGCATCAAAGCGAGAAGAGGTGGTTGTGTTAGGAGTGATGGAGATGGTGGGTGGGGTTTCTGTGTTTGTGTCTGCGGTGACACTAAAGGGTGAAGCTTTGCAACTTCTCACGATGGCAAAGAGATCCCAATCCTCATGAGCCATTTTTGAGAGAAGAATCGATTTGAAGATATGTCTAGAATTTTTCAAAAAAAAAAAAAAACCAGTTCTTTTTAGTACTTATGTTCTAATGGAGGAAACTTGGGAGAGAACAAAGATACAGAAAAAAAGGGGAAATTAGAAACATAGAGGAAGGCGCTGACTTTTTGGATGAACCAAAATAAACTAACTCAAGGAAATGTTATGATGAGTTGAAGAATTGTTAATTATTTATACAAAGAAAAAATGGACTTGTTTAGGGAAAAATGAAAAAAAGGAATGGGTGATTGAAGGCTGATATGAAAATGAGAGTATGCTTATTGTTTAGTTTTGTTAATTTTCTTTTATTGGATTTAGGAGTTTTCTCTCTCTAAAAAAGGACAAAGAACATTGGATTACCTTTTTGATTGACTTGGGTATAATGTCAAAGGTGGACCCAAGCTAAGGTGGCAGCAAGTGAGGACGATGATTCCGATGCTAGGTTCCTGAGTTAGTGTTAGATGCCTTCACCCACGCATGTTGCCTGCACCTTACTCGAGTGTGCGTTATTCGAGAAAACGTAGCAGTGGCGCGCTTCGAAATGAAACTGTTAACCCAATCAAAAACACTCCTCTGACACTGTGCCATGTTTATGCATGGCTTGCCCTCCAAATTTGGACACACACTAGGCCCTCTGTTTCACAAGCTTTGTAATTTTATTTCATCAATTTTCAGATTAACTTGTGTTTCTGATTTTTTATCATATCTAATCTATAATTGTAACTTTTTAATTTTTAATTTTGAAATTTAGTTTTTCAATTTTCTGAAATATATAATTTTGGATAACTATCAATTTTTTTCATGTGTTATTAATATTAAACAAATGACATATTATAAATCACAAATAATATTAATAATAATCATAAATAAATAGTGTCATCTCATAATTAAAGATAATAATAAGTCAGACTTTAAATATATAAAATGAGTTTATTTTACCTTTTTAAAATCAGGACTAATCAATTAGTCTATTTAAAAGTACATTTCATGTTTAGTTATATATGTTGATTCACTCACTCAAGTTTATAAGCCTATAATAAAAAAAAAGACAATTGTATAAAAAAATATTTTTTAAATATTGATAACTTCTGTTTTATAAATGTATTTGTTTATCTATACTTTTAATAATATATGTATATTAATTTTTTTATTATATTATACAAATAATTAAGTTGACCTATTATATTTAATAAATTTTTTTATAAGCCTAAGTCTATTATTTTTATATAAATAAGTTTTTCTAAAAGTCTAAACTTAATATTTTTATTAAATAGATTGTGTTAGACTAAATTTAAAGAAATCAAGTCATAGATTATTATTTAAAGCCTCATCTATTTTCATCCCTACTCATAATATTATGATCCATTAATTATTTTGGACAATCATTAATTTTTTAACATAAACAAATGATATAAAAAAAATAATAAATATTATTAATAATATTTAGTTTAAAGTATCTTTTTGTCTTTATTTTAGCACAAACATATCTATTTTTATCATTTTATGAATTAAATGGAAACTAAAATTATATTTTAATCTAAATATCACTAAATTCCATTTTGTTAGTTTCTTTACTCAATATCATATCATCATGGTTAATTTTATAATTTTAATGGTTGATAAATAAATATTTAATAATTGAATTAAAGTTATGAATTTTATAAAATTAAAAACTTAAAATTGCATATTTATAAATTTAAAAATTAAAATTATGTATTAAATATTATATGAAGAAAAAAAAGAGAGTATAATTTAGCATTCATATAAACATGAATTTCATTATATTACAGTAAACCCATATATTATGTCTAAATATGAAGTACTCTTTACTTTAAAAGTAATTAGGTTAAGGAATAAAAAAATATTAAAAAATGTAATAATAGAATTTTAATATAGTTTCATTAAAAAGTGTATTTATTAAAAAATGTGTATTTAAATTAATCTCACTTATATTTTATACTAAAACATCTTTTATAAATATCAAGAGAGCCTAATTCAAATATGTGGGGTATTATAATAATTCTCTTAGTTTGTAAGTTCAATTCTCAATAAATAAATAAATAAATAAATATATATATATATAT